TTCGTCTCTGTCTCTGTATCCGTGGTTGTGTYGCCGTCGTTGGTCCGCTGCCTCGGAACCGCCGTGGCACACTTATTAAGCGCGACATCAGCGGCTTCGAGGATCGTCTTTATACCTGTCTTGACGGTTATATTCATGTTTTTTTGGATGGTCGCTGCCTTTGCTATCTTTGTTGCTGTCGTCTGTATTATCGTCAGCAGTTCCGTCAGATCTCGTTTCTGTAGCGCTGTAATGTCCAGTCTTTGTTGTCTTGCTTGTACCGTTTTTGAATTTGCTTGTCTGTCGTCGTTGTCGGTGAAAGAGTCTTAGCTCGATGCGCTTCCTACGCTCGATACACTCACTGTTCTATTTCGTATCTGCAGGTCTASGAAATTGTGCCCCGCTGTTTTATCTTTTTTCTGGCATTTTCTTGTTATATTTTCCGTTGACTTCTTGCACTTACTGCGGCCCTCAGATTCCTCGCCGCTGCTATGGGCCACCAGATCTTTCTTCCGGTCGAAACCCAGGGTGGATTGTCCCTCTGTAGGGTATACCACCTGAGGTATATCGAAGTTTTGTTTGTGCATTTCATCAATTTTATTTGTTCCGTGCTGCGTCGGGTTCCTCGGGGTCGCGGTTCCCGTGCCGTGCCGGAACCTTGAACGGCCCCTGAGGGAGTGTTTGTGTGTGCCCGTGTTAGCCTGCTGGTTCATTCACTCTGGGAGAGCCTGTTTATAAGGATCCTAACCATTCGCTTTCCAGAAGGTCCCGTTTATAGGGACTCTGGCCATTCGCTTTTCAGGGTTTCCCGTTTATAGGGTCCCTGATCATTCGCATCACCAGAGGGTCGCACGAACACTTCCCTTTTAGTCGCCTTTTACGACAGGCAGGAAATACCTTGGGTCTATTCTACCCCGGAACCCACAAAGGGAATTATTATTATTGTTAATATTATTTTTATTATTATTATTATTATTATTAATATTATTATTATTATTATTATTAATATTATTATTATTATTATTATTATTATTATTATTATTATTATTATTATTATTATTATTATTATTATTATTATTATTAATATTA